CCCGGACATGGACTTCACTCTTGGATCCCACCTAAGGTTAGTTAATTTTATTTTTTAGGGGTGGTGGGATGGGTAAATTGAAAAAAAATTAATCTTGTTTGTCATTTCTTTTTACAGGACAAAGGAGATGAGTAGCAACCCCACCCGGACATGGACTTCACTCTTGGATCCAAGCAAAGGTTAGTAAATTTTATTTTTGAGGGTTGTGGAATGGGTAAATTGAAAAAATCTAATCTTGTTTTTTTATTTCTTTTTACAGGACAAAGAAGATGATGAGTGATGCCACCCGGACATGGACTTCACTCTTGGATTCAAGCAAAGGTTAGTAAATTTTATTTTTTGGGGGTGGTGGGATTGGTGAATAGAAAAAAATCTAATCTTGTTTTTCATTTCTTTTTACAGGACAAAGAAGATGATGAGAGACCCCCCCTGGACATGGACTTCACTCTTGGATCCAAACTAAGGTTAGTATATTTTAGTTTTTGGGGTGGTGGGATGGGTAAATTGAAAAAATCTAATCTTGTTTGTCATTTCTTTTTACAGGATAAAGAAGATGATGAGCTACCCAGGCCCGTAGCCGGCAATTTCAAAGGGGGGTTCTTTTTCTGAAAAAGTGGACCTTTTACCATAAAATCCCTTTGTACCTAGATCAAATTTTACCCAATGTTATATCAAAATTGACAAAAAACTTTTTGCACTGCTACTACAAACATTATGAAAAGAAAACTGTGTTACTTATTATTATTTTTAACTTACAAGTATGATTTTTAGGATTGGCATTCAGTTCAAATTAGGAAGCCATCTCAATTGGGTTATCATTTATTATTGAATTTATGCAATTTTGTGTGAAATTTTCAATTTTCTCATTCTGGCATTTTCAAAGTGTGAACTTGAACTCCCATGTGCCTGAAGCCTTATGCTTATTACATATTTTACTTACAATGGTATTACCTGTTGAGCATAATTAAAATTTGATGTTGAATTTGCAGTTAAGCATAATCTACTTTTGCATCAGAATTGACAGTAGCCTATTTTGTGCATTGTTATTTTCTGCTTTTTGTCTGTACATTTGACAGCTTTGCTGCCTTGTTCACTTATCGCATTAGCGGTGTTGCATATATGCTGAAAAAAGTGAAAAAAACTTTTATGAAAATGGCAAGATCATGCTGATTTTCGAACCTGGCCTGCGTATTATGAATATTCAACAGTTCTGTAATTTTCAAGCCAAAAGAAAAACAGTTTTCCACTTATCGTGTTATCGGTAAAAGTGCATGACGATGGCAACGGCGACGACAGACGCAGGTGAACTGATAAAGCTTATTTTCAAAACTTAATCTGTATTTCAGTGACATTGATCACTCCAGTGTATTTCAAGAAAATTGGCCAATTCAATTGATTTTCCTTAAAATGTGTTATAGGTGTTGCATATATGCTGAAAAAAGTGAAAAAAAAACAGCAAACTTTTATAAAAATGGCAAGATCATGCTGATTTTCAAACTTGGCCTGCGTATTATGAATATTCAACAGTTCTGTAATTTTCAAGCCAAAAGAAAAAACAGTTTTCTACTTATCGTGCTATCAGGGTTGCATATATGATCAAAAAAGTGAAAAAACAGAAATGAAATGGGTAATTTATAATTATTTCTTTTTAGCTCATTTCTTGGAATTAATAAGAGCCTAAAGCAAGGGCTCCATAATTTGCAATTTCTTTTAGATAAATTAGTACATGAATGAACTTGACTTAAAGTTTATGGTAGCTTTTGTCAATACAGTCAATACTTATAGGGTATTAGATTATCTTCATCTGCTATTTAGCAAAACAAGGCCATTTGCACCACAGACCCTGATAGGTCTAGTTAATACCAGATATAAACTCACACATGGCTATTTTAACTTTAGTTCTTCTGGGCTATCACCTGAGAAATATTTCATAGATAATTTTAACACATATAGTTAGTAATAAAAAGGGCTTTATTTTTTGTTTGGAATATATTAACAATGCAAAATTTTTAAAATAATTAGAACAGAAAATAAAGAACATATGTCAATACAATAGAGACTCATTTAGTGTCTCAAGACTTAAATAATTAAACACCAAATTAAATTAAATTGCCACCTTGGTAAGACAAAATGCTTATACACATTAAGTCATCTCTTTGGAGTCCATTTGCGACTAGAAGAAGCAAAGTACATGTAAGTTATGAAACTGAATTAAACATCAAATGAAAAGTGAAACTTATTATCCTTCCTATAAATGCAGTCCTCCCTGCCTTGCCACAAATGTGATTTAACTCGTACAAAGTTAAATGAGGTGATACTGAGAAATCATATAAAAGCTTTGCAATTAAATATTTTTCTTCCTTCCTGTAAACAAATTCCTATACATCCTTAGTGAACCTAAATTAAACATAGCTAATAAACTGGAAAAAGAAGTTAACATTTTTAAACTGAATGATCCAACATGTTCTAAATGAAAATATCTGACAGAAATTAGTGTGTTTTACCAGAGACCTGAGAGGATATGGTTGAGATTCCAAAGGTGGGTCACTTTCCTTATACTTATTATTTTATTGTTCTTATATCCAAGTCCATCTTTCCTACACAAAGCATGCCTAATACTGAATATAACACTCCTCCAACTTGGACATCATTTTCTAAATGCTGTAAAAAATCCCATTTAACTTATGTACTTCTAGAAAACCACTTGCACAACTCTGAGACTAGCTAGTATCACTGCAATTAAGAGACTAGTTGGAACTGGAGATACCAGTTGGGAATTTTATATGAAAACAATTAGGAAAAAAGACTAAATCTTGCTGATTTTTCCGATTTCAAAAACCACCATGTCTCTACATGCCAATTTTTAACTATTATAGTGGTATTTTGTGTGGGGCTTAGTAACAAACATTTAGTTCGAATACCTAATATTATATAAGCATTTTAAGCACTGTATGTTTAAACATTGTAATTGTTCACCATAACAGTAACCAGGTCAGATTTACAACAAAAATGCCTAACAAAATATATCAATCAAAAGTAGTTTACAAATGAAAATGCCAATGTCAGCTGTCGCATTCTTATTATGCCTACCAAAGCACTACATGAACTGGACTGCCTTTAAAAGCCAACAAGGAAATTCTTGAAAAACAATAATAAGAAATTACAACCAACTTAACCCAATCAAAATGACACAGTGGTATGGTAACTGATCAAACTCCCACAATACCAATCAAGGTGCAAAAATCACAAGAATATTTTAGCCCATGACTTGTACACTATGTGACAGTAACTATTAGTCACTGTGCTGAGGCACCTAGTTTCTTTTTCTGCTCTACTGAAAACTCCCTACCATATTTAATAAATTTTTCAATGTGAAGTAATACAAGAGTATTCAAATATCACTGAGGTGCAAAATTTTCACAGCAAATAGTCCCATTACTGTACACGAACATGTATCATAATCAGACCAGGTGGTATAAAACTGTACATATGAAGTCTGTTGACATTTATCTGAATATTTCTTACATAAAGCATACAATAAATGAACAAAGAATTAAGCTACTTGATCAGACTCTTGTGGTGTCCCTTCAACCAGACACCTTCAATCTGTTTAAATAATGATTAATATGTGAATATGAAAGCTGTGGTGTGTATGTACATACAGTATACAAAAGGAATGGGCAAGTGTTACAATAGCTAAACATATGTACAGATTAAATGCAATTTTTTAAAAAATAATCTATCAAGGTACTTTGGTAAGAAATACATTTAGTTTAAATAGCCCAAAACCCAATGCAATTAGGTATTTAGATGCAAAAAGAAAAGCACTGAATATACAGCTGAAAAAATACAAAACAAGATTTAAAACTGGATGAAAAAAAATATATATTCCATAGGTTGAAGCCAAAATCATCTGAAGTTATCAACACACAAAATTTGCAAAACTGCACTAGTCGAACAATCTCTTCCAGAAGTCATTCAGCTTTCCGCATCCCTAGAATCAGACTGCATAGAACGCTGGGAAAATATACAAAACACAGATTGTCTCAAACTACAGTGTACTACTTTATTACAGAACAACATGTGCACAGGACAGCAACAGACTTCAGTCATCATGTCTGTGTGACTTCTTCTTGAGATCTACACTCAGATTTCAGTTTCACGAACTCTTTTGCCACTTCATCATTGGTTCTTTGAGACAAAATGCGTAAGATTGTCCATCCAGTCTCGTCCAGCTGGACTCTGCGTCCCAGCGAACACCAGCACGCACAGCTGCCCTTCTCTTGAATGTCTTTTAACTGCATCACAGCAACGCCAATTAGTCTATCATCACGGGCAAAACAGTAGTCTTTCACACAGATATGTAATTCGTAGGCATCTGGCTCATCTTCATTGCTGAGAATGCTGAAACAAAATGAAACAGGCTGATTTAAGAAGTTGGAAATTAAGAGTTTATAAGCAAACACTGCTTCTCTCTAGAGTTCAAGAACTTACAACAATTCAAAATGTAAAAACATCCTATACCATATGCAGTGTGTACTGTTAAACCTATGTGTACATGTTTGCTATGTACTTGAATTATTCATCATTCACAGAGGGAAGAATGGACATAATGAAAAATAAAATATCAAAATAACTAAAAAACTTACAAGTGGAATGTTTCATTGAACTTAGGAGACCAGTTGTTGCTCTTTGACTTGGTAGCATGTCTACGTCTCTTATCACTGATGTGGGGGCCAATAAGGTTCACCTCTACAAAGGGACGAAACATTCCTGTTGTCTCCCACTTCAAGTCATTAGCTGCCACAACTGAAGCAATGAAAATAACAGTCTTACAGATTCATCAAATGCAATTGCAACAATCATACACCAGTATCAAACCAATAAAATCATCATTGGTAGATACATTTTATGACCTATTTAAATTTTGTATCCGTCTTTATCATAAACCTTCCCAAATAAAATACTAAAACATTTCTTTCAAGTGCTTTAAGTAGAGAGTGACATTCTATAAATTTCCTAATTCAAGTGAAGTAAGTTCTGCAAGCTCTGTGTCCCTACTTATCACAATTGCAGATGGTTTAACCAGCAGAAATGCTAGCAGTGCCACCTACTTTTTACAGTGACTTTGTGCTCCCCAGTTCCTGGGTGTGTGAACAGGTCTACCTGGATAGACACCTCTCCTACAGGCTCTTCCACACTGGGATGATCTGAAATACAATGTACTTCAAGCTTAACCTCAGCTACCTCAGTTATAAGTGAATAGCTTTCATATGATGCTGCTGCACTTATGGTGAGATTTATTTGACATTTTTACTAGAAAGGAGGGTGGGAGTGAACTCTTAAACTGAAAATATGCAAGTAGGTTGGTGAGTCATGACATTTTGTCTATTTTACACACAGTACACTCAAAATTATATGTGTACGGATTAAATATGTCTTGGCTTTTTTTTTTGTCCCAAATGTGCCCATAAAATATGACCCAGGTACTGAGCTTTTTTATATGCCCTGATTTTGTGTGTATTCAGAGAGGCTTAATAATACACAATGACATGTTGCAAAACAAGAAGACAAGTTTTTGCACAGCACTTTCAATGTGCATTTCTGTCAAACAAAACCTTCCCCTCTACCTTGTTGTCTCTGTGTGCTGACAAATGTTTTGATGAGAGTGTCTGTGGTCTGTGTGTACAGAGACAGAGCATATCTCAGAGACTGGAGCTCGGCACTTCTCTCCAGGAAGGTCTTCTTCAAGCCATTACCACCAGCATGGAAGTACTGCTTGATGGTGTCCAGGGCCATGTCCAGCACTGCACACTGCTTCAGACTCAGGTTCTTCTCTGCCTCTTTGGACATATCCTGGCAAGTGGGGAATGTACATCATTTAAAGGGACTTCTTGTATTAAAAAACTTTATAATAAAAGAAATAATAATAATAATAATAAAAATAATAAAAAACTGCAAGGTCTGAGCACACAACAGTTATATGTTACAAATATTTTCTGATGATATAGCATTGTGTTAATATATTTAAAAAAATGAAAAACTGTAATTGAATTAATAACACTTAGACATGGTAACTTGCTACATTATTCAACATTAACATTATTCAACATTGACAATCCATAAAGATTTTTTACACTTCACTTTATATCATTTCAATAACTGTACACCAAAACAGACAATCATTGTATCTACACATACATGCAAAACACTTTCAAATACATTTTTGTCATGATTAGGTCTATTGATATCGTGACCAACATACTTTCATAGATGCATCTGCTAAAAACAATAAAAGAAATAAAGACATACAAATCAAATGTGCATTATGAGGCATCTACAAAAATACACACAAACATAACAAAATATTAAGAAAGAGCAACATCAATAAGTAAATATAGATAGAATATAGGCAGTAAGAGCTATGACAAACAACATTGTTACTAATAAACAATGCAATCATACTTCCAATACAGTACATACATATAAACATGAAGCTGCACTGAAAACATGCACAATGCAAAAAGCTGGGAAATGTACACGCATCTGTGGATGAAAAATGCTACCGTGACAGAACTATTAACATTTCATCATTTAAGTGAGAAAAAGAGAAGAATTGGGAGAAAACCCACAGATAATATTCTAAGAATTGTGTAATTATACATGTATGTTTGAGCTCTTTGTCAGAGGCTAAGAGCAAACCATGATGATCAAATTCAAGGAAAACTGGGTAGGGTGGGTGATTTGATTCTTATAAAAACAGTTCCATTAAACAAATTTAGACAGTCATGCACTGTTCTATAATATAACATGTATTATTGTTATTAGTAAAAGGTAGATCTACAGGTCATGGGGAATTCATCCCTGTGTATAGCCTAGGGAGATCACAATTAACTGTGTTTGATTCCTATTAATTTATCAATTGACTAACCACATTACCATAATGAACATTGACCAACCACATTTATCAACAAAAGAAGACAGTTTTTAACAGAATCAAGTGGGTGGAATGATTAACACCCCCACTGCAGTATCAACATTGAAAGGGGGATTTCCTAGTCTTACATAATTAAAAAATAATAAATTAAAGCTTTGCCAGAACAGTGGGAGGAAAAAAACCGCCAAATTTTACACAATCATCACTTTTTATACAGCCTAGGTGTCTCAGAAAAAAACAAATGAACACCCATGTATCTTATCTAATGTCAGTGCAGCAACAGATAAACAATTTTAACATGCTGGTGATTCCATTAATACAGCCTCAATCCTACACATGTTAGTTTTATGGGAAACGGTGAGGGGTGGAGTAATAGTAACAAACATGGCTGCCTCCGGACAAAGCTCTAGTTCTATAGGCTATATCCCACATGCAAAGTTGGAATGATCTGTCATCACCTGGATCACAGACATAGGCATGTGGTTGAGGAATTTACGGGAGACATCACCCATCTTACTTTGTGCAGTGGCAGGCAGAGGAAACAACTGAAAGAAGCAAGCACAGAGTGAAAGTAAAAGTAGGCTAGAGAGCCAAGGGCATCCTTCATCTTGGAGGGAAATGTGAGAGTTTAGCTAGGTGTCATTGCTGCAGAGTTGATGCAGATTTTTTCTCAATGACATAAAATAGAACTTAAAGCTGAAAAAGACTGCAGTACCAGTGGTCCAAAAAAAAGCTTAAAACTGAAATAAGAAAGAATAGAAATACAACAATTTAACAAAGATAGGTAGTTATCATCAATCAGAGTGAATCAAAAAGAAAATGTTGAAGCTGTAAGGAAAACAGAGTAAAAAAAAATCTTGACTGAAGTAGACGGCATCCAGAAACAATCATACTGTGAAAATTTCCCAGCTTACTAACACTAAATATGACATACAAAATATAAAGCTGTCGTTCAAAAATACAACACAAAAATACACCCTTAGACAAAGACAACAACTATACTGATAAAGTTTACTACAATGTACAATAAAAACTAAGATCACTTCACAAATCATGGCTTCATCTTTTTCTTTCTTTTTGGAATAAATGAATACACAAGATATATTCTTTTGTGTATCCTTAAAGTGAAGTGATCTTTGTTTTTCTGTGAAACTGCCACCCTGTAGACCTTCACCTGTAGGTATTTAACAGGCATGCGGTTGAGAACTTTGGAAGAAACATCCTCAATCTTTGCTTGTGCATTGCCAGGGAGAGGAAAAAGCTGGAAAAAGTAGTTGATGGATGTTATATATAAGCTTTATTATTATATATCATTGCTAGATAGCTTCAATCTGCAGAAGCTAGTATGGGTAAGAATGAGGAGCACCTGCAATGAAACAATCAGGTAGTCAGCAGAGCTGAAAGCCAGTCATTCTATCTTGTCCAAAATCAGTACTGTCAAATATAACTTTTTTCACAAAGATCCCAAATTCAGGTACACTGGGTATCCATGAAACAAAAGATTACATTTTACCAAATTTTTGCACAATGCACCAATGAAGTTCTGACAGTTCTCATTTCAGATGCTATTCCCAATCAGTTATAATGGAACTACAAAACTCCCAGCATTGAAGTGAAAGCTTCCCTTATACTAGCCCTATTGCTACCAAAGTATATCCTAAGGCCCCATTCAGATTAGGGGACTAACTAGTCCAAGGATCAAATATGGCCAACCCACTTGAATACTTCAGTGTCTATTAGCAGATCAGATGGCAAGCTTTGTCGTGGGTTGCCATATTTGACCCTAAGACAAGTTAGTTCCGTATTCTGAATGGGGCCTAAGACTGGGCTCCCATACCTACATCAATCTATCTCCCAGGGGTTTCTCGCTAAATTGATTTCAACTTAATCATGCTTAGATGTCTGGCATGCATACTGAAGCTGCTAAATGATAATTAATTACCCCCTAGAAGCTTCAGTAGGTGTGACATACATCTAAGCCACTTAAATCGATTGCAGTTTAGCGAGAATCCCCTCAGATATAGATTGATCCACAGTTAGTATGATAAGGTCTGGGAATGGTCCCTAAGGTAACATGCCCTCAGCCCTGGAAACTGAAATCCCATGGGTGCATTCAAATAAAAAAGCTGCTCCTGAAAAAGGGAGCTCCAGCAGCTCCTAGGCTAAAAGCCTCAAGTTTGCCATTGGAGGCACATGTCTGACTTGTGTCTACAGCACCAGCTTACCATCATAGGGTGTAAGGTGTCGTTGGCCTGATTGGACATCAGCTTAAATTTACTTCTCCTGCCACCCTATAAGTTAGTCAATGGCAACAGAGTGATTGGATTAGTTCATATAAGCATTAACTAAAGACCCATGCAGCTAAATCCAGCAAGACTGCCATGTAATTATATTGTTTTATCCAAATTATGTTAAGTGTAAGCACAGTACAGAATTATTAAGGACTGTCTTCAAAGTTAGATTTACTGGTGCATAATAGCATGTTGTGATCACCTGTAATTTGAGAGGGTGACTATTAAAACCCATAGATTATTAAAAGTAACTAACCTGTCTAGGATCTGACAGAGGCGGTAACACTACCGTCTTTTCCATTGTACTCATCACAATCTTCCAAAGTTCCTGAAATCAATGAAATTTGCAGATATGACTAACTTGTTAAATTAGCTGTGATCTGTGAGATCTTGGCAATATATGTGAAAAATATAACTTTATTCATATAAGAGAAAGGAACAATATACAGGGACAGATTTAGGCCGTCTTCTGGGTCTTCTGGAAGACGGTCAGATTTTCAAGTTTACACTGACATGTATCTACTTTTTTTCTGCTGGAAGACGGTCAAAAATGAAGGATGAATGAATATAGATAATTTGGAAGACTGTCAGAAAATATCCCGGCCTGGATCTGCCCCTAATATAGAATTGACATAATTTGGGATGATTTACCTTGAGAACCCGTTTGAGCACTGTCTTCTCACACAGCTGAGCAAACATAGCCAAACTGAAAACAAGAAAAATATATAAGCATTCACTTCAGAATTTTTAGCAAAAATGACCCAACAGATACAAAAAAACAATTTTTTGTAAATGATGCAAGAACAATGCACCTAAAAAAAATTAAAAAAACACCACTTTTGGGGTGGATTTCATAACATGTTTGATAACCATTATGTTGAGAATGAAGATTGAAATTACAGTCCTGTAGCCAGCAATTCCACAGGGAGGGAGGTTCTCTTCTGAAAAAGTGAACCTTTTCACCCCCTCAATTGACTGACCTTGAGAAATATTCTCTTCCCCCCCCCCCCTTGACTATGGGCCTGACTTATTTCCTACAGGCATACCTCCCATCTAAAAAGTCCATGAGAGGCGTGAGAACCATTTCTGACTCCTGTTGGACAGCTGTCCTCTGGCTTGACTGGCTGAGGGACACCTGACCAGCCCCCTTCACCTTGGCCAGCAGGGATGCCAGCTGCTGCATACTGACATGGATTTGAGGTTCAAGGCTGGAAGAATTAAGAATGACATATATTATACAGAATATATACATAATATACATAATATACATAATATACAGAATATATTATACAGAATATATGATNTTTGAGAATTTGGGTCTTTTTTGGTACCAATGGCTGAAAATCAGGGGTCTGGCTCATGGACTATAAGGGGAAGAATGAGGAGCACCTGCAATGAAACAATCAGGTAGTCAGCAGAGCTGAAAGCCAGTCATTCCATCTTGTCCAAAATCAGGACTGTCAAATATAATTTTTTTCACAAAGATCCCAAATTCAGGTACACTGGGTATCCATGAAATAAAAGATTACATTTTACCAAATTTTTGCACAATGCACCGATGAAGTTCTGACAGTTCTCATTTCAGATGCCATTCCCAATCAGTTATAATGGAACTACAAAACTCCCAGCACTGAAGTGAAAGCATCCCTTATACTAGCCCTATTGCTACCAAAGTATACCCTAAGGCCCCATTCAGATTAGGGGACTAACTAGTCCAAGGATCAAATATGGCCGACCCACTTGAATACTTCAGTGTCTATTAGCAGATCAGATGGCAAGCTTTGTCGTGGGTTGCCATATTTGACCCTAAGACAAATTAGTTCCGTATTCTGAATGGGGCCTAAGGCTGGGCTCCCATACCTACATCAATCTATCTCCCAGGGGTTTCTCACTAAATTGATTTCAACTTAATCATGCTTAGATGTCTGGCACGCATACTAAAGCTGCTAAATGATAATTAATTACCCCCTAGCAGCTTCAGTAGGTGTTACAGACATCTAAGCTGCTTAAATTGATTGCAAGTTAGGGAGAATCCCCCCAGAGATATATTGATCCACAGTTAGTACGATAAGGTCTGGGAATGGTCCCTAAGGTAACATGCCCTCAGCCCTGGAAATTGAAATCCCATGGGTGCATTCAAATCAAAAAGCTGCTCCTGAAAAAAGGAGCTCCAGCAGCTCCTAGGCTAAAAGCCTCAAGTTTGCCATCAGAGGCACCTGTATGACTTGTGTCTACAGCACCAGCTTACCATCATAGGGTGTAAGGTGTCGTTGGCCTGATTGGACATCAGCTTAAATTTACTTCTCCTGCCACCCTATAAGTTAGTCAATGGCAACAGAGTGATTGGATTAGTTCATATAAGCATTAACTAAAGACCCATGCAGCTAAGTCCAGCAAGACTTCCATGTAATTATATTGTTTTATCCAAATTATGTTAAGTGTAAGCACAGTACAGAATTAAGGACTGTCTTCAAAGTTAGATTTACTGGTGCATAATAGCAAGTTGTGATCACCTGTAATTTGAGAGGGTGACTATTAAAACCCATAGATTATTAAAAGTAACTAACCTGTCTAGGATCTGACAGAGGCGGTAACACTACCGTCTTTTCCATTGTACTCATCACAATCTTCCAAAGTTCCTGAAATCAATGAAATTTGCAGATATGACTAAGTTGTTAAATTAGTTGTGATCTGTGAGATCTTGGCAATATATGTGAAAAATATAACTTTATTCATATAAGAGAAAGGAACAATATACAGGGACAGATTTAGGCCGTCTTCTGGGTCTTCTGGAAGACGGTCAGATTTTCAAGTTTACACTGACATGTATCTAATTTTTTTCTGCTGGAAGACGGTCAAAAATGAAGGATGAATCAATATAGATAATTTGGAAGACTGTCAGAAAATATCCCGGCCTGGATCTGCCCCTAATATAGAATTGACATAATTTGGGATGATTTACCTTGAGAACCCGTTTGAGCACTGTCTTCTCACACAGCTGAGCAAACATAGCCAAACTGAAAACAAGAAAAATATATTAGCATTCATTTCAGAATTTTTAGCAAAAATGACCCAACAGATACAAAAAACAATTTTTTGTAAATGATGCAAGAACAATGCACCTAAAAAAAAATTCAAAGAACACCACTTTTGGGGTGGATTTCATAACATGTTTGATAACCATTATGTTGAGAATGAAGATTGAAATTACAGGCCTGTAGCCAGCAATTCCACAGGAAGGGAGGTTCTCTTTCTGAAAAAGTGAACCTTTTCATCCCCTCAATTGACTGAACTTGAGAAATATTCTCCCCCCCCTCCCCTTGACTATGGGCCTGACTTATTTCCCACAGGCCTACCTCCCATCTAAAAAGTCCATGAGAGGCGTGAGAACCATTTCCGACTCCTGTTGGACAGCTGTCCTCTGGCTTGACTGGCTGAGGGACACCTGACCAGCCCCCTTCACCTTGGCCAGCAGGGATGCCAGCTGCTGCATACTGACATGGATTTGAGGTTCAAGGCTGGAAGAATTAAGAATGACATATACGGTATTATACAGAATATATGATTTTCATGATGAACCTTATAGAAATTAAAAGTTTGACATAATAAAATCTTTACATGTAGTTATATCATATTCCAATCAATCACGGTGTATGTTTATGTGTGATCAGGCACAAGTGCATGGGTGAATGCATGTTTGAGTGAGTGACATGAAGTAAATGTGCACAAGTGCTTATAATCAGACTTACAACAAGTAAAAGAAGAGCTATTCCAATATCACCCCTCTGCACTAACATTTCACCAAATATTGAACTGAGCTGGTCCTTCCAGCCTCCCCCTGAACTTACCTGCTGGCAAATATTGCACTGAGCTGGTCTAACACTCCATTCAGTTTCTGCTGCAACTCTTTGAGGATATCTGCTGCACTGGGATCCAGCTTCTCCCCACCCATGGTCTCAAACACCTTCTCCAGCTGGACACGGAGCTGCTGGATGTTGTTCATCAAAATGCAGGCCTGGAAATACAGAAAAATATCATTAGGCTGCTTATAACACATGCTATAAAGAAGTTTTTTTTT